TATAAAAAAAATCAAAGGATAAAATATTTTCTTAACATAATCATATTTTGAAGTTATTTTAATATTTTAAAGCATCAATATTTGTTTAATTAAAATAACAACGGGAAATGTTAATGGTGAAATTATTTTTTAGATAATACTAAGTATTGGTCGTAGAAAAAGTTTATAAACTTTTCTATGCACTGCACTCATTTAATTAAGCACTCGCTCTCAAGCTCGCTCGTCTAAATTAAATTCGTGACTAAAAACTTGAAACGTAATATACTATAAACTGCAGGTTTATTTTTTTTAAATCATTAAATTTTGACTCTGACAAAATGCTTGGCATATATGTAAGCATATGTAATGGCCACCTATGAGACTTCTTCTTGTCGCTTGCCCAGTTCATTGACTGTTCTTTACCAGCTCAATGGAGGTGATTGTCCCTCTCTTTTACCATGCACCGTTGCAAATGTATACCAAAACACCGACAACAATGAGAGATATACGATAAAAATTGCCAAAAACGAGAATAATTTAGTTTTATATTAAACATTGTGTGATAAAAGTAAACAATTTGTTATGTTATAGTGCGTTTTTTAGGTTAATTTGTTACATAAACATTGTAGATGTGGCAACACTGTGTAACCCAATGGTCAGCAACCGCATGTATACAACACATACGATTTTAATTTGCCCATGTAACAAAACAAAACACTGCTTTAAATTCTGTAAAATTATAACGCAACATTTTTATCTAAACCTTTTTGCAAATTAAGGAAAGAAAGATTAAAATAAATAATTAATAAAATTAATAAACAAAAAAATACCCGACCTAATTAAAAATATGTAGTTATTGCGCCATTTTAGGGACACCCTGTATACTTCTACTTAGTAAGTAGAAGTATATAATATACTATTGTTTTAATTTTTAAAGGCACTGAAGTGCAAAATAACTCCACGCCTTCTATTTGTGTACTTATTTGACGCTGTTTAAATGAAATTTCGAAATTTCTACATCGCTAAGTCAACACACCTTTATTCTAGAAACTACCTATTAAGAGCTGAAGACTGAAAAAAGTCGACTTTTTTAAACGACTTATTATTGCGATCCGAGTGAATGAAAATTCAGGACACATAAATATTTTCATGGGCAATTTCAAATAACATTATTCACAACCGAAACTTTGAAGTTAATTCTCGGTTTTAATGAAGTAAGTAGTAAAAAGCTATTTTTAAATTTATTTATGATTTTATTTTTACAGTTTTTGTTAAAATTAAGAGATAAATTTTACAGGGTGTTCTGTTAATAATGGGAAAGACATTAAGTGAATTTAGTTTTAGTTAGTTCATTATTTTATTATCCTAATAATAATTTTGCCGGCAGTAAACTAGATTTAACTTAATTTCAGGTGGAGACTCCACCGTCGAGTGCCAATAAAACATTTGTTTGCGACTAACCCCTGTAAAATCTTTATTTATTGTGCGATTTTAACCGGATTTGTTTTAAAGTGTAGATCTTAATAAACTGTATTTTTGAAGCATAAAACGTCATATTGTTTCAAAATACAAGGCCTACTATGTCAGCTTTTAAGAGTAAATTTTTAAGAATTCAAATTAGCGATTTTTTAAAACAAAATTCAATCACGGCACTGGATTCACCATCCTTCAAAATGACCATATACAAAATTTTATTAAAAAAATTAAAGTAAAAACATGCACAATAATAACTACAAAAATTTATTCTGTCAAGTTATCCATGAAAAAAAAACATTGAAATAAAATTAAACTTATAGTAATAGTACCATGTTACTATTAGTTTAATTTTATTTCTATGTTTTTTCATGTAGGTATAATTTGACAGAATAATTTTTTGTAGTTATTATTGTGAATTTTTTTACTTAAAATTTTTCAATAAAATTTAGTTAGGGTCGTTTTGAGGGGTGGTGCTTACATTTTGTTTAAAAAAATCGCTATTATGAATTCTTAAAACCATGTTACTATTAGTTTAATTTTATTTCTATGTTTTTTCATGTAGGTATAATTTGACAGAATAATTTTTTGTAGTTATTATTGTGAATTTTTTTACTTAAAATTTTTCAATAAAATTTAGTTAGGGTCGTTTTGAGGGGTGGTGCTTACATTTTGTTTAAAAAAATCGCTATTATGAATTCTTAAAAATTTACTCTTAAAAACTGATACAGTAGGTCTTGTATTTTGTAAAAATATGGCGTTTGTTACAAAAATACAGTTTATCAAGATCTACACTTTAAAACAAATCCGGTTAAAATCCCACAATAAATAAAGATTTTACAGGGGTGAGTCGTAAACAAATGGGTCACACTGTATATAGGATTAAACGATTACTTTTCAAGGGATACATTTCGATTTGCACATACAAATTTGATATTTGACATAATACAGATTCCCAAGTTGGTTACTCTATTGTTTTATAGATGTCGCTTTATACAAATATTTAATTTAAATCATTTTTAAGTAATAATAAGTATTTGTACTTGTACTTTATAAAGTATGCAACTTGATTTAAAACTTTTCTTTTAATAAACACTTACTCGCAAGCTTCGCTCGTGTCTAAAAACTTAAAACATAATATACTATCAAAAATAAAATTATAATTGCCTAGAAGTTGAATAATAATAAATCTGAATATTTTTATTTTAAATTGATTAAAAACTTAATAATCGATTTATATTTAGGTTCCAACTATTTAGTAAATTGGCTGAATCATTAAATTTTCCCAGAATTTCTTCTTATTTACCTACATAATTTATATTCAAGCATTCAGCTTTTAAATGGTTATGTTAAACAAGTAATTTTAAAAGTAACACACTGCATGGGAGAATTTAAGTAGCATCCGGAACCCAAAAATAAATGTTTCCATTAAAATATTTTGGATAATAAAAATTATATTTGTTTTTGAAATGTTTTACCTTTCCAATATGTTATAGGTATGTATAATTTTAGATTTCTATAAATAAATTTGAAACAAGTTTTATATTGCCCAAGTAATTAATTATTTAATATTCTTCTGCCAATTTATTAAAGTTGTAATAAATTAATATTAACAATAATTCTGTCCATTTACACATTTAAAACTTAAAAAAGTATATTGTGCGACTAGTGGGAGAAAGAGAAGATTCCTTTAGCGTGGATTTTTTCACCAATAGTTGCACAGAATATTTTATTCAAACACCACAAGAATGTAAAGCCAATTATTTATTAATTAATATTTTTTATCTATTTTGGTTTCATAATGACTTCATTATAACACCGCTTTTGGTTCTTTAATGAGGTACTTTATTTCACCCAAAATTTTGATTTTATAGGTTGGCTACTGGTAAAATACAATTTTGAATACCTATAGGTTATAATATTTTTATGATTTGTTTTCTAGTACTTACGAGACTTTTCGTGCAATAAATTTTGTTTAACACCAAAGAAAATCCTTTTTTCTTCTTTAACAGCCGCTTATTGTAAATACTTATTGTAAATTAACGACGCCATAGCGAAAGAATGTGATAATGTTTGAAAGGTTAATGACCTTTCAAACTTCAAACTAAGATACCAACTATGTAAAGTAAAATTCTACCAAATTAAATATAAGGTATAAAATTAATTTGTTTTATGAAATGTTTGCAAAATAGATAAAATAACATAAAGAACTCATGTCATAAGACCTTTTGTCGCACTTGTCCATTATAAAACTCGCTCCTTCGTCGCTCGTTTTATAAATTGTCCGCGTGCGACAAAATGACGTCTTATGACATTAGTTCTTTAATATACTAATCTGACATCACTTTTTTTCAATTTCAACTTTTTTCTACTCCCACCTTTAAAACGCCCATTATCGTACATGTTTCCATGACACTAAGTGACTTTTTAAATACACATTGACAAGTTGTGGCTTTATGGCGTTTTAGTCACGGGCTGAAGTTATTTTTAAGTTAGTCGGCAGTTGTCAAATGTCATACAATCGTTAAAATAAAGTGCCTTTCTTGTAAAATAATACTAAATGTGAAAATTATTTTATTATCTCAATACAAAAATACAAAAGTATTAAATAGTTTCTCAACGCCAATATTTAAAAAGTTTATATGAACATTGTACTGACCTTTTAATTTCGCCGGCAGTAAACTATAACTTAAATTCGGGCACGGACTCCACTGTAAAGTGCTCATAAAACATTTCGATTTATAACCTTTACAATGTGTGTTTATAAAATATAAAAATTTGACATTTAACGGTGACACACAGATTCCACTATTGTTTCATAGATGCCGCTCTATACAAATATTTGATTTAAATCATTTTAAGATAATAATAAGTATTTGTCATAGAAAAAGTACAGTATGCCCCTCGTTTATAAACTTTTCTATACATTTATTAATTTAAGCACTCGTGCCTAAATTAAATTCGTGTATAAAATGGTGTTTATCAAACTTGATTCATAATATAGGTACTATTATCTCCAGCCCATGGGCAAAGTAAAGCTTAAAAATGGTCTACTTTATGAAGTATTATACAATATATTATAATACTATTCATGTACTATTGATTGAACTTACCGTTAAATAATATATATAATTGTCATACCTATCGTATAAAAATGAGTAGCCATAAAAAACAAACTTGTTTCTAGTTTTGTAATGTACAGTTATTTATTTATAAATACATAATATATGCGGGAATTTGCAATAATTAGTTGAATTTGTAATAAATTACCCATATGTCATGAATATATTGCAATTAAATTTAAATTTTAATCCAAAAAACCTGTGACAAATTTTAATTGTTCAATTTTAAGCCTTTGTTTTAATCCTTGTTAACGGAAATGTTTTTTTACAATCAAACATTTTAATTCCATTAGAAAAGAGGCAGTCGACATTTAAATTGATTTTCATTATATCTTTTAGATCTTTTCTGAATTATTATCTTAAAAAAATGTTAATTAATTAATAAAATTAAAAAAAAAACAATGATATTTTTTATTTTTTTTTCAGTTATCTGACGAAGTAAACAGGAAAAAAACTGAATATCAAAAATACTTGGAACTGTATAAATTAATGAGGAGCAGGTTCGAAGAACATTACGTAAAATGTAAGTATTATAAATTTAAGATTTTTTTTGTAAAATATTATTACCATCTGAGGGTCATTTCATGACAAACTATACTGAGAGTGAAAAAATAAATATGTTCTTTTTGCATTAAATCTGATGAATTTTGAAAGAAAACATTCCAAATTAGTACCTACCTATGTGCGACAAAAAAAAAATATAGAAGAAACGCGTAATTTTTAAGGTCTTTAAAATCTAAAATCAAGTGAACTGGCTTAATGATCATTGTCCCTAACTATTGGAAATACGAAAAAAAAAACTGTCAATCTGTCAACCGTTTTGCTTCTTTGCTTTCTCAGTCCCGAAAAAAATGATAATTATTACGTTATAAGTGTGTTTTCTTCTTACTTAGACACTGTAACACCCGAAACGAAAAATCAGGTAATTGTTTTATTATTATACCTTACTTTTACTAAATAAAGGGTGGGCCATCTATAAGTTGAATTTTAAACTACGTGCTATTAATGAAGCTTTCAACTTAAGCGCCATGAATTGCTGACAGTGGTTTAGTTTTAACCTTCCGATTACAAAATATGCACCGAATAAATTTGGATCAACGTTTCGAAATACTCAAAACTTACTTTGAATGTGACTGTGATCGCAGAGACGGCAAGAAAATTGCGTTTGGAAGAAATGAGGCGCCGTCAAACCAAAGTATTACAAATTTGATCGAAAAATTGCGCAGAAATGGAATGCTGGTGGACATAAAACATGTTTCGCATGCTCGTCCTAGAGGTACACCTGAAGCAATCGCTGCTGTGGCCGAAAATGTACGCATGAACGCGTCAACATCAACTCGGCGCAGATGTCAACAACTCGGCCTTTCCCGTACCACTCTGAGAATGATTCGGCACAAAGACCTCGGTATGTTTTCGTACAAAGGCCAGCTTGTTCAGGAGTTAAAGCAAGTTGACCATCCACAACGTTTTCGCTTTGCTGAGTGGGCTTTAAACCAGTTGAACGATGACCCTAATTTTGCAAGAAAAATCATCTTTTCGGATGAGGCGCATTTTTACCTCGGAGGTTATGTCAACAAGCAAAACTGTAGGATTTGGGCCACGGAAAATCCACACGTCGCCGTAACAAAGCCTATTCACCATTTAAAACAAAACATTCAAGCTCAAATTGCCTAAATAGAGCAGCAAACTTTTGACAAAGTGCTCGAAAATTGGTGTTCCAGGATGGGCTACTGCTGAGGTGGCCACTTAAATAAAATCATTTTCCATACTTAATCGGAAGAAACATTGTATCAAATAAAGCAAAATTCGTTGAAAAAAAATCAGTTTTTCTTGTTCTTATTGCTATTTTATAATTCAACATAAACATGGCCCACCCTTTATTATTACACTAAATAATATTTAGTAAAAGTAAGGTTATGGTGGTATATATATGGAGTATAAGACTAATTTGATATGTTTTTGATTAAAAACTGGTGTAACACACGTTTGTGGTGTTACAACTTTTTTCATATATCGATATATGTGTGTGTATTTCTTAAAGAATGCAATAAGTATTATTTTTAAGGCTCTTTCGACGGCCCACTAGCGCCGCCATCGGAAAAGCAGTCACACATCTTTTTAAGAGGTGTGACTGCTTTTCCGAGTTTGTTGTCGAACCTACCGAAATACCGAATACTACGATTTTTGTCAATAATTATGTTTCTACCGATTTTTGGCAATAATAACGATTTTACCCTTTTTGCCGATTTATCAATCGTACCCAAAGCTGCTTAAGTTATGTTAAACGAGAAGTCATTCTATTTATGTTTATTTGTTACTTACTTATTTTGAAGTACTAATAAAACACCGATTTTGTCCATATAAAGTGTTTAATTCTTGGACTTGTAACACCCGAAACAGAACCATGGTAACACCCGAAACAAAGTAAACCTTTTATAAAAAAAATAGTAAAACGTTATTTGTAACAGTGATTATGTGGTAGATGGTGATAATACTTTTGGAGGCCTGTAATTTTTAGGAATGTTTCCCGAAAAAAATTTGCTAAATTTCAAATAAATGGCCAGGACATAGAGGCAGAATCGTGAAACACCCGAAACGCACACTTTTCGACTTATAAAATCGTTATCCTATGTGCTAAACTGTACTAATTTTACAATTTAGATAGAACAACTAAAAACGTAGAGAATAAGGCACTTTAATTGCTAAAATATTATTTCAAAATACATAAAAATGTATACTTTGGTTGAACAAATGTAACACCCGAAACGATGGAATGACCCCTTACAAGTAATTTTTCTTCTATGAACATTAAGCAAAATTAGTTTTTAATTCTCTTTTTTTCCAATAGATAAAAACGAGCAATGAACCAAAAATTTACTAAAACCATTTCGAACATTTTGAAATTTATCTTTAATAGAATAAAGCTAAATTTGTAGACCACATATTTTAAGTGACCCCATAATAAAAAGTCTAATGGTGTCAGATCTGGAGATCTGGGAGTCCATTCTCTCCCCTTTGATTTTTTAGTTCTTGTATTATTAGTTGCTGTATTGTTTTATTCAATACATCAAAATTTCAGAAAACAAAAAATACTATTTAAAGTATTAAAAACTAATCAGCATGAATATCAATCTTTTTTGTAAACTTTTATAAACCTGATACAATAATCCACTTAAAACATCCCTTGCGGCCTTGAGTTTACGGTGAATACACCGTTTATGTGCAGTGAATATACCGTCCATTTGTGACATTTGTAGACGGTAATTAAACGGTGAACTCACGCTGTTTTTGCGATAAATTCACGGGGATTTCACGGTTAATTCACGGTGATTTCACGGTAAATTCACGGTGAACTCAAGTTTGCAAAATCACCGCAAATTCACTGTGAAAGAACCGTAAATTTATAGTGAAATCACCGTGAATTCACCGTAAAAGCGCTGTGCGTTTACTGTGAAAACACCGTAAATTGACTATGAAAACACCGCAAATTGTAAGTGTAAGATTCGAACAATCTGCTAATTGGTTATTCCCAATACAATACAAATATCGCAAGAGAGCTCTCGTGTAGCTGCGCAAAATCAACTTGAGACGCCATCATAAAGAAAAAACAACAAGTTGGATGCCATTTATTAGCGGTTTTTTTTATTAGTCGATTTCTGTGTTAAGCGGTTTAAGCAATACATCTCACGGCTGCTTACGCAAGCGAGCTAACTATAAATAGCGTTGGGTTGCAATATTTAGTTGGATTCGAGATCGAGAGGTCGAAGTGAGATGTAGTGCTGTGCTGTGCTGTGCGGAATTGTGTTGTGCCGTGCTGTGCTGTGCTGTGAAGTGAGTTCATGTGAAAGGACACAAAGTGAAAAACCGTGAGTTTATTTTTAATACTTAGTTATAAGATTTGGTTCGTGTGACACTTATTGTCTTCAACAATAGGTGGTGAAGCGAACACTGTACATTTAGTTTCTCCCCGCTCGGGGAGACATAAATGTTTTTCCACCATGGGTAAAGATAAAAATAAGAAGTCAAAGTCAAAGTCAAATAGCCCCCCCCCAGACAAGTCTGAACCAAAGATTGCCCCTAGCAACTCTCGAAACCGTAGCCGCTCCCCGGTTAAAAAAGATATGAGGACAGATAGCCCTCTTAGCAATTCGTTGTCGGACTCAGACGCGGATAACCGCTCCCCATCACCCACCTTCAGTATCACATCTAGTAACCCCGATTTCGTTACCAAAGAGGAATACGATGACTTAGCCAAAAAACTTAATGTTATGGTAGATCTCGCTAAGAGATACAAAGCCCAATTAGAAGCAGATCGTTCCAATATGGACGCCAAAATCGCGGCGGCCGTCGCTGCGGCCCTGGCTCCGGCCCCGGCTTCGGCCAAACGTGCTGCAGCGAGTGCCACCGTGATGGAGGCAGCCCAGCAACCCCCTCCCGTATCAGACATGGAAACAACCCCTGGCTCAAGCCAAAAACGCCCCCATGCAAATAGCCCAGATTCTCCCAAAAAATCCAAACGTCGCAATTCTAACGCGTCGTCTACCGCGATTCCGACCAAATCCCCAGAATTTCCCAAAGAGGATACCCCTTCTTCCGAGGTACAAGGTCTTAAACCTGTACCAAAGAAAAACACAAAAATCTCCCCGATCGTAATCCGTTCGCCTGAGAACTGGATTACTTTATCCAAAGAGTTCTCCAAGCTTAAGCTTAATATTTCTCAAGCCCGTACCATCTCGGACGGCATTAAGATTTTCCCAATGACCGAAAACGACCATCGCGGAATAACCAAAAAATTAAATAATGATAAAATCCCTTATCACTGTTTCACTCTCCCTTCTCAAAGACAACTTCACGTTGTCGTCAGAGGCATTCCTAGTGATATCCCACTAGAAGAGGTTAAAGCCGACCTCGTCAGTCAAGGCTTAAACATTACGGCCATCAGCCACATGACCAATAAAGCGACCAAAAAGAAGTATCCCATGGTACTCATCCAAGTCCCTCGTGAACAGTCTCATGTTTACGAAGTCCGATACGTGTGCAATCTTGTGGTCCGTGTAGAAGCCCAGAGAGCCAAAAGCGGCGTATCACAGTGTCACCGCTGCCAGCGTTTTGGGCATGCCCAAAACCTGTGCGCGGCGCCACCTGAATGCGTTCGCTGTGGCGAAGGGCATCTCGCCAAAGAATGCCAAAAATCCCGCGATACTCCCGCCGTATGTGCAAACTGCGGTGGTTCTCACCCAGCCAGCTACCGGGGATGTCCAAAATTCCCAAAACCCACCCATATTCAAGCCCCTAAGGCGACCCCTACTTCCACAGGAACACAACCTTCTGCCCGTAACTTCCCTGCGGCCAAGAAAGTGTCCACAGATATTTCCTACGCCAGTTTAGCTAAAGGACAAAACAATGCCAATATTTTGCCCCAAACTCCGGTAGCGACTGAAGCCCCCCTAAACTTAGACACAGACAAACTTTTTGTCTTATTCAAGGCATTTCTAAATGCTATGCTACCCCAGCTAAACACCCTTGTAAAAAGCGGTTAAACCTCCCCCATATCTTACTTTAAAATACCCATATAAGAGATAGGGCAGAGAGTAACTGGGCCGAACGAACCAAACTGGTGTGCATGCACACCAGTCCCTGGGGGACGAAACCATTGCTCCGCAGACTCCGTGTGGAGTCTATAACATAGATAGCCATAATTAGATTGGGCGTGAGACTCTAAGTCAAGCGCTGCGGCCTCTATACTAGAGAATTAGAGACCATATTAAACATAAGTCAGATAAGAACGGGGAGATGCAGACATCGACCAAGGCCGATGCACATGCGTGCCGGCCGGCATAGGTGATCATATGTCGGACGGAACGCTTGAACACCGGACTTGATGCGAAAGAACCATCACCCAAGGTCAATATATGCCGACCATATTAGTACATAAGCACCTTTGTAAGATTGGGTACTAGACACTATGTCGAATACCACAATCCCTATCTGCGCATAGGCTATATATATATTATGTCATAAGATTGGACTCGGACTGCCCCCACCAGAAAAGGTTTGGCAGACGGGTCACGGCTCATATCGGGCGCCGCGGCGGATGCCAACGCTGAGCCATATTAAGACACCAGGGGCTACTGTGGAAACAGATAGCTCGCAGGTAAGATAACCAGAATACTGCGCTGGTTATCTCCTATACAGATACCAATAATATTGTAAATTGGTAGTAGGTGGATCAAGCAACTCTCTCCACATTCTCACTACGATCATAAATCTAAAAGAGTGTCAATCTCTTGATTTGAAAATTCAATACGCTAGCAGTCTTTGAAGAGAGTATTTAGTTGGAAGTGTGCGTCTGTAATGGCATAGCTGAACATTAATTGTTTGAACTTCAAACTTTGAAGTCCCCATCTCCATCCTCATCTGCTCAGTAACGAATAATGGCTAGCTATAGTGGATTTTGTTATTATTATTGTTTTATTCACCGTGAATTCACTGTGAATTCACCGTGAATATACCGCCAAAATACGGTGGATTCACAATTAAAATACTGTGAAAAGTGCGTGAATTCACCGTCTAACTTCCGTTTACAAATGTCACAAACAGACGGTTTATTCACGGTGAATTCACGGTGAATAAACCGTAAACTCAAGGCCGCAAGGGATACACATTCCATTGAGGATTTAAATTGTTCAAATGTCAATCTATTCCACGACAAACATTTCAAAATGATAAAATACTATTTAAAAATTGCTTAGTAAAGTCATTTACTTACGGGAATCATTTTCTGCATTTAATGTAACCCCAGGGGTGGCTTAGTCATTTTTGTGCCCCCCAGTGGGGGGCCCCCACATATCCAAGAAACGGTTTAAAAATTTTTTGGTTCAGACTTATAGAGCATTGCTGGTGTTTAAATGGACCCTTTATATAAATTTATAGTAAATTCATTTTACCAATTCCCTAGAACACAATAAATGCACGCGAAGAGCACGTGTAAAACTGTTACACTCATGCTATTTGTCAATCCGGAGTATTATTTCTATGGCTGTTAAAAAAATTGGTGCGCAATAAAAATTACTTTGCACTTTAAGTCGTATTGAGTAAAAAATCTTCTTAAAATATTTACATGGTTTAAACAAGTTAATGATTCAGATGACAATAAGAAAAATAGCGAACCCGCAAATATATATTTTAAATGTGCCTGAGGGAGAGAGAAATATTAAAAGAAGGAAAAAAGCCGGTAGAATTTCTTTAGGAAGTTATATAGTGGTTTCCATAATATTCCTGTTATCTCTAGTTATAAAACTTGCGTTTTATAGTGTTTATGAAGTAGGTACCGATAACCTCCATAAACTCCCCCAATAGCTCTTTAATGGGTATATAAGAGTGATATAAAAATGTCTCTAACTAAATTAAGAAATTTAGGTTTTTTAATTTGGATGATATAACATTTATGGAAACCACTATAAAAACAAACATGTTTATTTAAAAAAAACGGCTGATGTCATAGCCTCTACAAAAATGGCGGCAAATATGAAAATTTTACATCAAAATGTGCGGAATCGACGTGTTCAAGGAATTTTTAGGGTAAAAAAGGCACATTTTTTAATAAATTTGTTTTATACTTTTGCCTTTAGATGACATAACGAAGAAAAAAACGCGTTGTTTGTACATTTATCAAAAATCAGGACTTCTGGCACCAAATTCGAATTGGGCGTACCAAAATATTCTAAGAAAAATACTCGTCACTTTCAGTCCTAGACTAGTGTGTTTTGAGACAAATTTTCAAAGTTATGATGATTTACTGCTATAAAATACATCTTTCGACATAAGCTGACTTATTTTAAATGTTTTCATAATAAGCGTTTTTAGCTTATCAGACAAACAGGGCAAGTTTTTTTTACTCATACAAATGCTTGATAGGTTTCTTGAAAACTTTATACCAGTCAGTCGATTTCTGATATTATTATTATTCAAGCATTTTTGCAGCAAAAAATATTTCAACAATAATCCCAGACACATAAAAACTCAATGGTGAAAAACACAATCATAAACTAAATTAGATTAAACATTTTATGGCATTTTTATGTATTATTTGATAAACAAACCTTTGATTGGTAATGATTTTGAATTTTTTCTGCAACCTTCGTCAGAATGTATAGAATGCTTGCCAAAAAATCTATTTTTATAAAATTATACGTGCAACGGTTAGTGTATAGACAGAATACAGACACAAGCAGATTATAGTGATAAAACATTACAAAAACGTTGTTTTAATGACAAATATTTGTATTATGTAAGTTAGTTTTATTTGCTACAAAATATACTGTACGTTGTTGCTATTTAAACCTTTTTAGCATGTCAAACAAACGTGACGATTTTAATTTTTTTTTCAGCTGGTAGAGGCGGTAGAAAACTCGACGACGTCAGAGATAAATATCAAAAAGCCTGCAGAAAGCTGCATTTGACTCATAACGAGTACGTTTTACTGCTTTGTGAAGCTGTTGAGTTCGAGAAGGACTTCAGGACAGTCCTGCTACCAGGACTCCTGGAACACCAGCAGTCCTTGCAGGAAGCTTTCATCCTTTCGCTGTAAATATTTGTTAAAATTAAAGACGATTTGTTTGTTTTAATTTGCGTTTTGTAGGAAGCATATTTTGCAGGAGATTGCAAACAACTCGGACCTTTCTTCGGAAAAATTTAGAGAAATTCACAAAAGAATAGAAAATTGTTTGGATACAATAAAACCTCATGAAGAATATAAGGATTTTACAGAAAAATACAAGTAAGTATTGTCCAATTTTAACATAAATATACAGTGTGATTTTCACATATTATACATGGTGTCATCCTTTAAGGGGATGATAGTACACGGCAAAATAAGAAAGTTTTTCCTCTATGATTTTTGCTTTGCCATTGCAAAGTGGTGATAACTTTAAATTAGGAAAGTATACTAAACAGCTACTACTTTAATTTTAAAAGTAATTCTAACTTTTAAATAGCAATATTTTGTAACAGAAACTTCATTCTTTCCTTAAATGGTTACTATAAAGTAATAAACATTTAAGTAAAACTTGGTTGCCCCCAAGACTGCAACTTTAAAAAAGGTGTTAAAAGTAAAAAAACTTTTAAGTAAATTTAATTTGTAGCAGTTACTTTCGGTTGCTACCTCAAGATTACATTATAATTAGTTTTACTTTGTAGTCCCTTTGCAAGTTAAAATCTCGAGACTGGAACATGAGTTAAAAACTACAAAGTTAATAACTTAAAAGTTATTATTTTAGTATTTGGAACGTTTATGGTACTAACCAAAACTACCGTAAATTTAATTAAGGAGGAAAAAAACTTAAAAGTAGCGAAAACTACTTCAAAGGAAAATGCTTCTTATCGGCCATTTTTTACTGTACAGTACCACGTGGTAATGTAAATAATACATTATTTTAATTGTTTGTAAATGGTTGTTTACTTTTTAATAAACAGTCATTTTGTTGGTAATATACGGTATTAATAATTAAATAAAAAATTAGGTAATAATAAATATTAAGATTTTTTTATTTATAAACATTATTAAATAAATAATTTTTTTATGCTTAAATATTGATGAAGCGCATTTATTTTACAAAAACTAAATTCATAAGTTTAACAGTAAAATTTAAAGGGTTTATAAATTTACCTGCCTAATTAAACATTATATTGTTATCCTGGAAGTTATAAACTACCTACCAGTACATATTTAATAAACGACGACATTGAAAAGCCAAGTCCGTATTGGTTCCATTTAAGAAAGGAGGGATAGTATAATCTAATATAAGTTTGACAAAGACAGTTAATATAGAAGTAAAAACAAATAAATAAAAGTAATTATAACGCTCTAGCAACGATATTGAAACGTTCTAGTAACGTAGCAGCTCCGTTCCAAATAGTAGCAGGGTTTATAGCTAGTGACATATTTGCTACCTTTTTGGAACTCAATAATTGTTTCCCACTGTAGTCGTAACTTAGTAGTAGTAATGAAAGAGTAATATAAAGACCGGCGACTGTTTAAAGTTTTTTCAATAGTCCCATATACGTAACAAATACTTAAATTGTTGCTTGGGAATTTTTAACAACCGATTGTGTAAAAGAAAATGAATATATTACATAACTGCAAAGTTAATTTAACAAATCGTGTTGTGTCAATTTTATTTTTTTTAAATAAACTGCGCACCACTCAATGTGTCGCGACCAAAAAGTTCGTTCTTTTTCAAAACGACATAACTTTTTTGTTTCTTGAACGATTTTATTTTGGTCTGTGATGTCTCCTAGCCCCATCCTCTGGCAATTCATAATATAGATATGAAGCTCAAGGTTCTTCAAGTAAATTTCCTACAGGGTGGGTGAAAATTTTTAATAACTTTATTCAAGCCCCGTTTGTAAAAAAAATATTTTTTTTCTCGTTTTTACTTTGAAATAATGAAGTATTATGTCTTACCTTGAAACGTTTTTCAAATTTTTCGAATTGGAATTGTAGCAACGAAAATATGATTTTTTTCTTCTAAAAGAGTACATTTAAGGCTTTTTTGTAAGCAATTAAACATCCGGGAATTGTTTTCGAATTTTGATTCTTAGTGATTTTGGTTTTATCTGAAACTTAAATTTGACAACTGAATCACAAGCAGGAGGTCAAAATTATAAAGAAAACATGTCACGAACGTAAATATCGGTTCAGGATTGGTTTTCGCAAATTTTCACCAAAATATCATTTTAAAAAAATTGTCTTTGCTTAGGCCCCTCTGAAAATAATGGAAGTTTGTTGCTTGTCGCTTGTTCAGAATTATTCAAGAAACAATCTTTCACCATCTTATCTCCTTGTTCTTAAAAAGACTGAGTGTATAATACACTGTGTATTGCCTACCAAAAAGCCTTAAATGTACTCTTTTAAAAAAAAATCATATTTTCTTTGCTAAGATTCCAATACGAAAAAAATGAAAACAAGGTAAGACATAATACTTCCTTATTCCAAAGTAAAAACGAGAAAAAAATTGGGGCTTGGATGAAATTATTGAAATTTTTGTCCGTTTTACATATCACCCTGTACAAAATTTACTTGAAGAACCGTGAGCTTCATATCTATAGCATGAATAGCCAGAGGATGGGGCTAGCAGAAATCACAGACCAAAATAAAATCGTTCAAAAAACAAAAAAATTATGTCGTTTTGAAAAAGGACGAACTTTTTGGTCGCGACACATTGAGTGGTGCGCAGTTTATTTAAAAAAAATAAAATTGACACAACACGATTTGTTAAATTAACTTTGCAGTTATGTAATATATTAATTTTCTTTTACACAATCGGTTGTTAAAAATTCCCAAGCAACAATTTAACCTAGTTATTTTAACCTAAACTAATGATTAATATGATTTAAAATCTGTATAACTTTATCATAATTAAATATGTGTTAATTTATTTATATTTTATTAATTTTACACAAAAAAAGTGTTACTTTAACATTATTTTTTAATTAACTTTTACATTATTAATTGTTTTTTTATTTATTTTAATAAAATATTTCAATTAAGATAAGAATATAATGTAATAATAATAATTTATTTATATATTATTTAACATAATTTAAAAAAGGCCCGTAACGAAGCATTGGAATTCACTAAAGCTGCACAGTCCAGTCCTGTTTTTTTTGTATTCCAAAATAAAATACAAATCCATGCCATAGGGACCCTATGATAGGGTAAACGGTCTTCGAACATTTCTGGGGATACAAACGTTAAGTAAGTAAAAAAAAACATTATCATAGCAAACTTACCTTAAAATTTTGTTAAACACACCCTATATAAAAGCACACATAACCTTACAATTAGGAACCTCTAATCGAATTAACTATTATCAACCGACTAAACGCGGTTAGAAGACAAAGGGCCTTACAGGGTACCGATTTTAATCGAAAGAAGGTGAAAATTAGCGAATTGGAAGAATAACATTTATACATTTATAAATATAAATATTTAAGTTAAATTGAATACAAAAAATACTCAATTGTTTTAATTTTAATAAACATTTTCTGTACTCAAATATTTAATAAATATTTTTGAGTTAGATTAACACTTGTTTAGGAGTTATTTAAACTAATGTATTATATTGGAATTAACATAATTTTCTCGTAACATTAACTAAATTATTATACTATAATGTACAAAAAAATATTATTTAACATTCTTATTTGTGTAGGACCTTTTAACACATTAATGTTTGTTAAATCTTATGAAATTTTAAGATTTTAATTATTATAATTTTTGTATCTATGTTATAAAGTTTATAATATAAACATAGGAAGTTTATGTAAATTTTTACATTTTTTTATTTAACACGCATTATTTTTAACACAAATTTTATAAATTTTTAACTGTGTAGGTACTTTGAATAAAACAATACCTACATATTTTTTTATTGTTAGGTACCGTCAAGTCGGGTGTCTTGAAACACTTTTTACATTTGCAGAAAAATATTTCATATAAATTTGATACCTGCATGAACTTGTATTGTATTCTAAATAATAAAATTTGGTTTTCTTAATAGTAACCTGGGATAAGTTAAAGGCTATTAATTTAATTAATTAGTTTGTTGTTAATATACTCTGTTTGTTCGAAATATTTAGGAAAATATCAGAAATTATAATACAAATTGGGCAACTGTTATTTTATGATAAATAAACTTATACCTTGGTATGCTGATATTAAGTATAATTTGCAATAATTATCAGCATTTAAATGTTATTGCAAAATATATTATTCTTTATAATATTAAGCAAAAAATAACTTTTAGGAGATAAATTATAACTATCATTATAACCGAGTTGTGCGAACCGTAAAAAGGTAACTATTATAATAGCTATAGCGAATGAGTTAATAACAGCTAATAGGCATTATGAATGCGGCGTACATCAGTGAGTAATCTTCATGTGGTGAGGTTAATACAATGGCAGACCAGAATACCAAAGAATTATTAGAATTTTGGTGTTTAGCTAGTTTAATTCCTGAGTAAGTATTTATTATAAATATCTACTTTTGCTTTTTAAAAAAATGTACTATATAAGAGATATACCATAATAATAAGCCGAAATCCTGTTTTAGCCACCATGATAGAAGTAACAAGCGCTTTTTTGTTCTTGTTTTCTAAACAATGGGGTAATATATTATAGTTTAATAACTATAGTTTATATTAGTATTAAATAACTATAGTTTATATTAGTATTAAAAATTATTATTATATAAATTGATTTAATGCTGGTGGATGTAAGTATTATTTGTTAAATTAAATTTCGTATTTATACTTTTTAAGCATTTGAGCTGTTTTTTGTTGTAAATAAGTAGGTATACCTACATTTTTAGTTTAGGTCATTATCTCAAAACTAAAAATGAAATGAATGAAGTAGTTGCTCATGTATGTAACACTTATGACTCAGTATATTTAACGATATTTATTTTTATATTGCCTTTTTAAAATAAATATTTTTCTAAAGAATTATCTTGTCTTTTATAAATAAATCGCTCGTTTCAAAAACGACATACTTAAGGCACTTCTTTTACGAAATTCACTTTTTACCACGAAATGCTTCTATAGCTTCTATAGAAGCAAAATATCCCATAATTATATGCTAACATAATAAATACTTTCATAGATTGACTATTAGCTCTTGTAAAAATAATTTATAATAAATGTAATTATTGTAATAAAATACTAATAGAAAACCAAATAAGATAACAGTTGGTAAATACAATATTTAAATTAATAAGGTAAATTTAATAGTTGGGTAAATCTCACGAAATGTCCCCCGATGGTGTTACCCCGTGATATTTAATAAAACTAAATGAGTTTGACCTACACTTTTATTGTGTTTTGATCTTTTATAATTCATAATAAAAGTAGATATTACAGCTCAGGTTCCAGATTTTTAACCGCAATTAATTATTTTTTACAATGTTTTAAAAGTCTAAAACCTATCCTCCATGACTGTTACATGTTTTTAAATATCTGAGGTAGTAACAGCATACTAAAAATATCAGTTTACTAAGCAAATCAGGGTTTCCACTCATCTGGAAAACCTGGAAATTTCAGGGAATTTAAATTTTTTAGAAATGTCAGGGAATTGGCAAAAAAAGTCAGGGAATTCCCAAGTTGGTCAGGGAATTGGTTATTTATAAATAAAACTGGTCAACAAAAAAAAAATGTTAACTAGTGTAATTTAAATTTAATTTATAGTGTAAAACTTATCACTATAACCTTCTAAGACTATAACCAACTATTTTTATGTTAAGGGTGATTATTATTTGTTTATTTTGTAAATGATAAGCATAATTAATAAACTAATTAATTAATCAGTAAAATCCTAATTAATAAATTAATTAATTAATCAGTAAAAGACTTTGAAAAATCATAGTTCCTGTTGATAAAAAACCGTTCCAAGTCAAATGTTTGATTTGCAAGCAGTCATAGGCCACATAAAAATTGCGGGCCATTAAAAAAGGATTTCGGCAACGAAGAACGCAAATTTGTCAAATTTAAAAAAAAATGTCTAATTGTCATAGCGAAAAAGCAGCCACTAATAATTCTAGTCAACACCAATTTGTATAACGAGAGAAAATAAATGAAAAAACTAAAAACTGTATTACTGCCACACTGCAAACTAAATATTAACTCTGAGTAACAAAATAAATAAATTCATTCTTAAGAAAACTAAAAACTGTATTACTGCCATACTGCTGTTATCATCGTTGTCGACCGTATTATCAGGACTTTCAGGTGCTATGGTCTTCTGGTCTTTTATCAAGTTATCATAAAATTTTCTATTGCTGTGATCATGTAAAAGAAGTAGAAGCTTTTCTAGAGTGTCCAATTTTGTTTTCTTAGATGGTATTGGCAGATCGTATGCAGGCTTTAAGCTTATTTCGTTTGTCTTGGTTATTTCTGATGCTACTATTGATGAACGCCATAGACCACTATAGCTATCTTTTAAAAAAATGCATCTGTTATTACTTTCAATTTTGAACATCTTCACATTTTTTATGTTAATAGCTGGTTTTGGATATTTCAAAAAAAATTTGTCAGTTGCACTTTTTACATTAAAAGCCAGTCGAATTTGTATCAAGAGGTCACATGTTATGCACATGTGACTTTCTTAGACGAAACGGAGTGGACTTGTGATGTTTTTAGAAGAAAAAGCTAAATTTCATATTTAATTATTATGAAACCTATGACATTTTTACGAGAAACACTTATTTGTACCTATACGTAAATATGGAGGTTAGGAAACAGTTGGTGCTAATATCTAAATTTCGACGATATTGGACTAATGATGTTTTTCCGAGAAACGCCTCAATTGCTGTCGACTAAAGTTATTAGTGAATGCAGTGAATTAGTCAAAAATGACATATTTCAAACTGAAAAAGCATGCTTTTTTACTATGAAATATGTAATTTTTGACTAATTTAGAGAGTAGGTATGCTTGAAAAACTTACAGTTTTACATGATAATAATATTAATAATAATATTGCTTTAGAAAATAACCAGAATAAATCAATTTCTATAAAAAAAAAACTCCTGCAAAGAATGATAGAAAAAATAAAATCTTTTTATGTAGTATCAAATATTTACTGATAAGAACTCATCAATTGATCAACTTGATAAACAAGACCTGCCGCAGACAAAATTTCAGAGACATTTTTAAAAATTTTATTATTTCTGTTATTTTCAGATTGAACAGAAAATTAATGTAATAAAAACCCAAGAAACAAAAACCTAAATTAAAAATTATCCCGAAAAAATTAACTACAGAAAAAAAAGTATTAATTTTTTGTTCATGTTTTTGAATTTTATAAACTTCAATAAAAGTTTAGTTTTTTAATTAATCGTTCCACCAAGAGAAAAATAAATTCAAGTATTACATAAGCACCAAAGGGGGGAGTCTTTGCTTGATTGCTTTGATTTTTGTTGTATATTTATAATGAAAAGCTTTACTTACTTTTGCTGACAAAGGGAAGGGGGGGTTAAAAATTACAAAATTTCTGCTTACTTAATACTTGAATGGCCCCATACTTAAAATTTAAAAAACCAACACTCAAAGTCCAGTTGAAAAAATCATTGAGGGTCAGGAAACCAAAAAGAAAACACATTTTGCCAGGAAAAAAATTAGGGAAGGTCAGGGAATTCCTGGAAAAGTCAGGGAATTTGGTTTAGACAAATCGGTGGCAACCCTGTAAATTAAACACATCCAAAGCAATCGAATCAAATATAAAATATTATTAAAAATTAAAAGAAATAATTTGTATAACCATTTATGTACATAGGTGTTACAAAAATTGATTCTATCCTCCGTGAATCTGTTTTTGCTTTAAATTTTATGCAACAGATGGCGCTTTAATCATTTTAAATAAGCAAAGACCTCTGTTTACGACATTACACAGTGCCATTGTAAATTCTAACGATGTATAAATCTGATTGAAAGTTTAGTTATAAGTTTGTTCACATTTTTTTTAATATTTTTTTTGTAAACCTCTTTGTTATATAATATGAATGTCCTACTATGGTGTAAACTGTTGGGCAATAAACTCTATTATTATTATTATTATTATTATTATTATTATATATGCATGTGATTCCTGAAGGTCAGTTAGTTTATATGCAGATGAGAGTGTTGCTGTTTTATAATTCAAAAGTTTAAGTTCATTAATTTGCTATTTAAAAACCTATCCACCGTGAAGTGTAATATCTCATTAAGTAGGTTTTTTTATAAATATTTTATGTATGTATACAATTGTATTTTAAAAAAAGTTAAGGTGTCAAAAGATACAATAACTTATTTCAAATATACAAAGGGATGTTTTAAAAAACATACGAAATCCTAACATCCGTGAAGCTATCTTTCGTGAAGCTCTTATATTCAAAATGTATGATTTCTTAAAATTCTTGCATTAGTGCAGAATCACTTATGTTATGTTATTACTAGACCTGGAGGCTTCCCAAAAACCCCATTCTAGACTAACAGTGAAACAACCAAAAACAAAAAAAAACATTTTCACTTGGGGGACATCTCGAGATGTTATTGATCAATATATTCACCCAGTTATTAAAATGATTGAACTATTAATATTTTAAAAACTTTCTATTAATAAATAAAAGGTAAGATTAAGTACTCCTTTATACCTTGTAGTATTATAACTGTTAGTTCACATACTCTCTAAAAGTGAAACAGTGATATTTTCACTATTTCCGTCAGTGAGTTATTATTCACTGTAAAATTAGTGTTTTTCAATATAAATTAGTGAAATTTTAACTTCTCCAAATTAGTGTTTTTTATTATCACTACTTTTCCGAAACTCTCGACATAAAATAGTGAAAGAAAAAAAAACTCGACATAATTAGTGAAATTTTAACTTCTCCAAATTAGAGTTTTTTATTATCACTACTTTTCCGAAAATCTCGACATAAAATAGTGAAATTTTAATTTTTTTGAACTAAACCTATTTCACTAATTTGTACAGTGTAATTTCCACTAAATAAATGAGTGCAAAGAAATCGCTACATGAAAAAGTGAGTATTCACTAATTGCTAGTGGTATACTTATCACTGCGGCAAATAGTCAATCAGTGAAAATCCACTGTTTCATTTTTAGAGAGTAGGTTTGGCAGAATACGAATCTACTAAAGCCTTTAGTCTAAAGGGTAACCATTACCTTGTAACAGTTAATATTATTATTTCTCTTTCTCTGTGCAGTGGCTCCCTGGTTTTGTCATATTTTTTTTTATTTAAAAAACAGTAGCTCTGATGTTCTGTCTTGTTTTGGCGTGTACTATCATCCCCCCAAAGGATGACAATTTATTTAGGTGACACCCTGTATTTACATATTTTTCAAAATAACTTTTAGGTCAACCCCCGCAGAACCGATAAAATTTACGTTCGACGAAAGTCTGGTCGAAGACAGCGCCGGCAAACTCCTCCCCAACCAATTGACAGTCGACAATTTGACAGTCGAATGGCTACGCACGAAACTTAACGATCTCGAAGCGAGCATCAAAGAGAACCAGGAAAAACGAAACCAACTCACGAACAGTCACGAAGGCCTGGCCAACGGCAAAACCACGCCCACAAGCGAAATAAACAACAGGTGAGTTTGAAGAACGAGCCGACCTGTTGATCTTGGTACCTTGGACAAATATCGTTTCGCTTTTAGGTTGTCCACCAATGTCGACACGTCCAAAAAAGAGATAAACGAATTGAAATGTCAGGAAAGGAAGATGTTAAAACAGACTGAACTTATAAAAAGTGCCTTAAACGAATTGGGTTGTGAGGAAGTGCCATCCGGGTGTGATTTGTCTTTGGATAATCAAACTTTTATCAGTAATTCTAGTGAACAGGTAAACATTTTACATTTTTAATATATATTTTTGGGGTTAACAGTATACTTTTTTCACTAGGTGGAAAATATCGAGGTTTTTATATATTTACAACGCTTGTAACTTTCAAACTAAATTAGTTAACAACGTAATTTTTTTGAGCATGTTTTAAGAATGTCACGATAAACAAAGCCTCAAAATTGAAACACGCTAGCTCATAAAATCCTTGAGTTAAATGACAAAAAAGCTTTAAGTACCTACGATTTTTAATTTCTGAATACATGTAAAGTGTATTCAAATTTAACGCGAACTAAATGTAGGAACGAGTTATCACGGCTTGAATTTAAGTACACTTACAGTGTAACACTGTAATGCCGCAGTGTTGCCAACCTATTTTATTTAAAATTCCCCAGGATGGTCCTAAAAATTCCCTATTTTAACCCAAAATTCCCTTTTGAGTGTTTTGAGTATGAGTATGAGTATGGGAACGTATGGCAAGCCCCAGATATATTATCATCCACTGATCTCCCGGGGTTATATTACCCCCTTTCCGTTCTCCTGCGTATCCCGCCAAATCACAGCATTACCTGTGTTTGTTGGATCCGAAGTTTTTACGCCGGCTGGTAGATCCACCCTAGGAGTTCGTGGATGACAGTGTCAAAGGTTAAGGCAGCTCCCGGGATTTTTGTCAGCCGGGTCGGGCCATACGTCCAGTTTAGGAAGGGTTTTTGGAGGACATTGAACTGACCCAAAACTAAGTACAATCCGGAATCCTCCTCAACCTAGGCCTTAGTAGTATCCCCATTCAATTGGTATTCGTGAATGGGGGTGGGTATGTTAGTTTTTTTGCTTACTCCGGCTACCAACCTTGTATATTCTTTATTTATTTTATTGCTATATTAGTGTTCATACCGTTTTCATTTATTTATATCTTTGCCTTCTTACTTATTTTTTTTTTCAAATTAATTTAAAAAAAAATATTAATATACAAAATAGATAAAGCCGGCCCTGTGGTGTATCGCATCAATATTTGAAACCCGGCCCCTATGTCAGGCGTGCAACGCATGCCTCAATAGATGGCCTACCACTTCATTTTCACGTGGGGGCTTTGCCCATTTACTTTCTCCATCCTCCAAGCTTTGCTTGCGTGAGCTTATGTGTATATTATATAATATATATAATACAATAATATAATATTGCGACGCACCCACTTGATTTCCCTTCTCACACGCACGCTGCCCTCTGCAATGGTCAATTGTTGCCTGGTTTCCTTGTAGAATACACAAACACAAAATAAAATATTTTTTTATCATATTTACAAAAATATAATTTAAAAAAGTATTAATAAAAATTTACTAATTGTTGTCAACAAAAAAAAAATTCAAAAATACCTTCATCTTTGACATATTTGACAAGATAATAATATTAATAATATCAATATCAATCACTGACAGCTATGTTCTGTGACTGACAGCACATAATACCAGGGTTGCCAGACTCTTTTTTGACGAGTACGGCTAAAGTCGCCGCAATTAATTAAAACAATAAAAAAAATTATTAAAAATCTCGAGTCGGGTAGACTTTTACTGACCAGCTAGAAGTATTTTTATTGATACAGTATTGTGCGAATTAATGTGAACATCAAAGATAATACATTAGGAATTTCTGTATTATTTTAACTTCAAACACTACTGTGACAATTTTGGCAGGTTTTTCTTGACATATCCCATAACCTATCATTCTGCATTAAGTAATTGCTAATGTTAGTCATTTTGCCGGTTATGGCGACTAATTTACACTAGGACAAAAAGGTAACCCTTCTGGCCTGTAAACTCACCGGACCTATTGAAAATTTGTGGGCTATGTATATGCAAGGACAGGTTGCTAAAAATCGATTCTACAACAAAAACTAAGATGATTGAGGCTGTCATTTAGGTATTTTTTCGAGATGACAAAATAAAGGAAAATTGTAAAACATTGATTAATTCTAAACCTTTAATAAAGGCCAAAAGGGAGACATTTCCTAATAAATAATACTAAAATATTTATAAACTAGTACTGTTTGAATTTTTTATTTCAATAAATAATATTTAAGGCAAATCTATTTGTGTTCACATTAATTCGCACAATACTGTAATTCCCTAATTTTAACATTTTACATAAAAGATTCCCTTCTTCCCTTTCGACAACAAAAATTCCCGAAAAACGGAAAATTCCCTGCAGTTGGCAACGCTGTAGTGCCGTTGAGTGAAGAGTAGTGTAATCCATGGTAAAAGAAAACAAGGTATTTTCTTCAGTAGGACGAATTTTCTTAGTTCTTTCCCGCCTTTAAATTTAAATGATGTTTTAAATTTAAATATTATTATCTAATGAAATTCATCAAAATTTCTATAAAATTATTCGATTTTTAGATTAAATTGTCGAATAATTTGAACACCACACGTAGAAAACTATCCAAGAAAATATTATTAATGAAAAAAAAACTATTTTATATGGTTTTTCAATCAAATAAAATATATTGTTTTAAAGTAAATAATAATTATTATAATAAATATTTACTAAATAAATCCCAAATAAAATATATGAAAAAAGTACAAAAAAAATCAACCGTTTCTGAAATATTTAAATTATTTTTAAGATAGTAAGTTCAAATAGTTTTCCTTTCTCTGTCTGAGTACGCCATTTTTACTAACTTAACAAGACATATTGACATAATGTCACAATAGTTATTTATTTTCAATAAACATTTTGGTATACTGATTTAAATTTAGAATTCTAACAGTTTAAAAAAACATTTAATGATAACATTTCAAATGCGAATATTTCAGAAACGGTTGAATTTAGGTATATGGTTTGTTTTCATTATGCTCAGAATTTTACAAGGAATCGAAAAATAAATTCATATATAGGGTGATCCATTAAAAAAATAAACTTTTTGTTTTTCCCTGTATATTGATCAATTTTCCATTTTTTTATACGTAGAAAAAAAGTATTTTTTAGTACCTACATAAACAGACTTTTAAATTTTTTGGGTACACTGTAAAATAAACTATGATTTATATTGTTTTTACAAAAAATTAATTTTAATTGCTCTTTTGATAGATCAGCTGTTAAGTGTAAAGTTAGAACCGTATCTACTTTTAAAGACTTTTTTTATGGGAATGTTTGTAGTAATGTAGAAAATGTCCATTTACTTTGAACAAATACAAGCTACTATTTTTATACGTTACAGATCATATTTGTATACAAAAGGAAAGTAGGTACCTCTAAAAAAACTACTGCTATTTAATTGTTTTTAAAATAAATGGGAGTGCCCTGTATTTATTTTCGTTGGTTATATTCACGATACACAAACCGGTATGCTGATGCGCATCTCTCTCGCACCGTGTGACGTCATGTGCGAACCAAAAGCTGGCGGGTAACTGGGTCAAAAATTTAGGGACGGCCTGGGTGCAAATATTAAGTGTAACAAATGTTAAATTGGCAGCAAGCTCTTTTAATAATAATGTAACATATTTTAAGCAACAATTAGTTTCCTAACTTCTTATTATTATTTTTCAAATTTTTTTTATTTATGCTAGACCTAATTTTACATTTTTTTTAATGTGTTTTAATTGTATTATTAGTAAGAACTTATGCAAGCTGTAAAAAATATGAGGTACCAGACTGGGCCAAAAAAAACAACTATTTTTTTTATGCTCTACAAAAAAAGTTAAAGTGAAATTTTTCGTCAGATGAACCGTTTCCTAAAAATCATGCCTTAAAAATTGGTATAGTTTTACATTTTGATCTTTTAAATTGGAATTTTGTAATTCATGTAAAAATCAGTACCCATAAAAACCGATAAAAAAAGCCACTTAACATTTTTGGCTAAATTCACTCAATCAAAAGTTATTCAAGGTTAAAATTTCGTTTTGACTTCAAATTTAACCTTGAATGGGGTTAATTTAGCCAATAATGATATGTAGAGCATTTGATTTCCTTTTAGAATATTTATAGTTTTTTTTCAGGGTACTGATTTTTACTTGAATTACAAAGTTCCAAAGTTAACAGATCAAATTGTAAAACTATACCAATTCTTAAGGCATGATTTCTGACGGAAAATTCCAATCAAACCTTTTTTGTAGAGCATTCAATTTTCTTCAAAAAATATTCTTAAGTCAATTTTGTTAAACTCAATGATTTGGGAGTTCTGAGACAAAAACTCGCTCAGGAAAAAAAAATCTAAAATTGCGATGATATACCTCTTAATATTAATATTATGGACTCAAACTTTCACCATAATTTTTTTTTGTCACCCCATACAATATTTTCGATATACTTTCCAAAAAAATAGTCGATTTTTTTGGCCCAGTCTAATAAGTACCTAACAAAATTGCCTTTACTTAGCGTTTTTTATTTTCCTTTTTATATTTTCCCTTGCATGCATTCACCCACTGTGCTGCCAGTCTATTTAAAATATGCCGAAATGTGCTGTAGAAGAAAGCAGAAATATGAATGAAAATTCCAACACCCAACCCAACCTAACATAAAATATTGTTTGTAATATTTTTTGTAAAATTAATATATGAATAAAAACAACACTGTTTTAAAGTTTCACTATTTTATTTATGTTTTTTTAAATGATTAACAATTGTTTCGCTACACAGTAGCTTCTTTAGAATTAGTATATCGTACCATGGAGTAATGAATGGTAGTGCACTGTTATTTTCGTTGGATATATTATTAGTAAAATTAAAATACTCCCAATAACAACTGGTGAAGGTTCCTAACCTTATTCATTCATTTATTCTTACTTATATTAGGGTGGTTCTGAAACGCATCTGAGCAAACGCAGTCCTTTTAACCATCAAAAGTTGGTAAAAATGCTGCGAAAACCGTTTCGACGGAAATCAGCGCCATCGTCGCCGGTGGCGCCCCCACGAACAAGGCACAGCCGCAGCGATTCGGCGCCCAGAAGCGAAGGCGGCGACCCTGTAGGTTATGCCTGCTTGATTTTAAGCTTTTTGAATGCGCATGAAACTAGATTTAGGCTTATAAGAGTTTGCGCATGTTTGCTGTTTTTTTGTGTGAAGAAATTGTGTATGCTTCATCTAGAAGATAAATGGTCTAATGTCTCAATCTAGACATAAGTAGGTAGTCTAAGTTGCTATTAATTTTTTTTTTTGAAAATACCATTAGATTTTTTATAATATTGCAACAAATTTACAATAATTTTTAAAAACAATTTTGGTTAGTTTTAAGACGGTTTTATGACATTTTTTAAGGCACTAGACACTTTTTTATGTCATTATAAAACGAACATTTTTACAAGGTTTTGTGAATATAGGAAAGTTTCATGATTTATGCTCGTTTTTACGAGTGATATTTTGTCTTGAAAATGCAATAAATTGGGCAAAAATGTTTCAATCGTTCCATTTTTTTTTAAATGTAGGTAGCTAAATGTTTACTACATAAAAACATATTTAATAATATTTTTTTCGTTTGAAGTTGATAATATAAACAACTTTTACCAAAAGTCCTGAGTTGGCTAAATTCGTCATTTCGAAATTATTATTTTTTTTAATGTAAATTCTATTTTCTAGTAAATTATGAAGTGTAATTTAGAACTTTTTGACAAATTTAACATATTTTTGTCACTTCTGGTTTCACCGGAAATGCTTTTAAGTAAGTAAATTAAATTATTAAAGATTTTGGAGTAAAATTTAAATTCTTAATATTTTTGCATGTGTTACTTTTAAAAGATGAAAAAAATATACGTAAGTTAGTTTTGGTTAAAATAATAAAAAATAAGTATTGCATACCTAAAAGTAAAGAATCGAATGCACAAGAAACTTATAAAAACGCAATTTCGAAGAAATGTAGAACACAAACAATTTCTAAAAATTTTGATCGGTTAACAGATATGAGTGAGGCAGTCGGGAAACTCTTTTTGACTAAGGCTCTATTAGGAAGATAAATAAGTATTAAGGTCCACAAACTAATGCGCAGGTTAATTATGTTTAGAAATAACAAATTTTCATCTGATGTCATATTTCGTTTTTTTATTTATTGCCAGAGATTCCCTACAATGGACACACTATGGGGCGGTTAGTATAACTTTTTATAATCGTTTCAAAATATTTGAATGATTTTATTTAGTAGTTTTAAAACCAAAAAATGTTGAGCAATTACACCCCTTTGATTCTAACCACCTCAATTATTATTTTTATTTTATTTTTATAACAAGTTTTAGCGTATGTTTTAAGAGTAAAAAAAATGGTAATATTCACTTTCCAGCAAAACAAACTAACGAACTGTCAAATCTGATACTTCTTTTAAACACAAATGTTTCCAAGCTTTCTTAATTTATTTACTTTTGTACACACTTCAAAACCTAATAAACATTCAAATTTAATCAAGAGTTTCAGAGCGATATTATTAAAAAATGCATTAATATTTGGTACCAAATTTAAAAAAATTGGATTTCTTTTATGACCAACGAACCATACTCATACTCAAAAATAGTTTTGGCATAAAGTATGGTTTTTCAATTTCTAAAATCCAACATTACAAAAAATAATAAAATTGTATTTTTCCAGACTACTTGACCCAACATAAAGCAGAAAAGCACTCTAGATATAGAAATAAATTTTAATTAAAAAATGGTTTGACCTGTCAAAAATTGCCAAATAACATATATATATATATATATATATATATGCATTCAGAATTTTATTTTGAATCGAAATATGTAAAAATGCTTAGGGTGTTTCATTAAAAAATAAAAAATTAAGACCATTTCCGGTGAAACTGGAAGTAACAAAAATATGTTAAATATGTCAAAAAGTTCTAAATTACACTTTCATGACCCTAGATAAAAAACTAAATTTTTGCGATGAACCACGAATTTACTAGAAAATGGCATTTTCATTAAAAAAATAATAATAATATAATTCCGAAACGACGAATTTAGCCAACTCAGAAAATATGAAGTAAAAAAAATGTGGCAATGTGAAAATTTTGACCTAAATTTTTTGTGCCTGTTTTAGAAAAAACATTTAAAAAAATAAAGTAAATTCACTTATTATTTTATATTTTTTTGGTGTGTGGTAGACATTTACCTACAAATTAAAAAAAAATGTATAGATCGAAACATTTTTGGTCAAGTTATCGCATTTTCAAGAAAAAATGTCACTCGTAATGTTTGTTCCATTTCCAAATTTCCTACGGGTGAACAAGACAAATTTAAGCAAAAAGAAAAAATACAGGTCTCATCGATTTCGGTAAAGAAACTGTAAAAAAAAATCGTTAAAAAAATATCGGCCCTTTTTCAATTTTTTTGCTGTTTTTTGAATGGCTTTTCTTCGCTATCCCACTATGTGTCATATTACAAAAAAATGCAACCCTCTCATTATTTCAAGGTTTCAATAACAACCAACAAATCATTGGTGGACGAGGAATGGTTCCATGGGGTACTCCCGCGCGAAGAAGTAGTTAGACTTTTAACAACGGATGGAGATTTTTTGGTCAGAGAAACCACAAGAAACGACGAATGTCAAACGGTCTTGTCAGTTTGCTGGGGAGGCCACAAACATTTTATCGTCCAAACCACAGCTGAGGTAAATCTTAACCTCAGACCAAAGAGTATTTATGTTTTTGTATATTTGTTTAGGGTCACTACAGATTTGAAGGGCCAGCCTTTCCAAGTATTAGAGAATTAATTTTGTACCAATTTAATAGCAGTCTTCCTGTGACAGGCAGATCGGGCGCTATTTTATATAAACCTATCCCCAAGGAACGATGGGAACTTAATAATGACGACGTCAATTTGCTTGACAAACTAGGGAGAGTAAGTGGAAGAAAACATTATAGTAAAAAGTTGTTTCATCTCCACACTTCTAAGGTAAAAAAAATGCAAAACTTTTTAGGGAAACTTCGGAGACGTATACAGGGCACAGCTAAAAAACAGCAACGAAATAGTGGCAGTGAAAACGTGCAGAGTAACTTTACCGGAAGAACACAAGAAAAAGTTCTTGCAAGAAGGCAGGATTCTCAAACAGTATGACCACCCTAACATAGTAAAACTTATAGGGATATGCGTCCAAAAACAACCGATTATGATAGTCATGGAATTGGTACCAGGTACAGTAAAGTTCATTTTTTTTATCTGGACTGCGGCTTTGGTGGTGCGTAGATGAGTAAAATCATATTAAAAAGTAGTTAAATATAGGAGAGACAAGAATTTATATAAAAGAAATTTATGAGAATAAAGCCAGAAAATGTTAAAAAATATCGTAAAAAAACCGTGGCTCGATTTGTTGTGTTGTTGGGTGTATTTCGAGAAGAAATCCTGGGTTGAGTTTTTACCGGTTTTCCAATAAACAGTGTCAAACTGAATGAAGAAATAAATTGCCTACAGTCTCTGTAAATATAAATTGTACCTATTAGGTGCAATAAATACACATTTTAGTAGTGATTAACGTGAAAAGGGTAAACATTTCAATTCAGTAAAAATCGTCAAACAAATAAGTCGTCTAAATTTAAACAGCATTTAGCATTATTAAAAGCGTTGATTAAGAAAGTCTCCACTCAACGGTAAAATACCATTATATTATTATATATAATATTATGTTGCCATGAATTCGTAGGTATATTTTGTTGTTTAAAATGCAGTTGTCGGCGTTTTTTAGAGAATTCAAATATAAAAATGGTTGATAGTGAGGTTATGTTTGTGCAAAAATTATTTTTTACTAATTTCTTAAAAATGTCCAAACTTAAATATAAATTATATTAGGTAAAGTTATCATTAGTTAATTCTACACCAAAAAATGTACTGGCAAAACATAAAAATGCAACGATTTATTTCTTGAATTTTATTTACAATTGAGGAGTGATTTTTCAAAAGGCCTTATTTCCATTTTTACTTGAATGTAATTTTTTGACAAAATCCCAAAGGTATGGTTAAAAGGCATATATTAACGGCGAAATATGACAGCAGGTCTGAAGTATTATTAAATATTCATCAGAATTTTTTTTTAAATAATCTATATTGCCCTAACCTATACAGGTTATAGTCATTTTTTTGAAAAATTCTTGCAAATGGAAATACGACCTTTTGAAAAATCACTCCTCAATTAAAAACACAATAGTTCACCATGATCCCTTAAAATACACGCACTAACATAAGCATTTAAGCGTTGAGTTTCTTAATCAATGATATAAGGAATAATCAATCGAAATCGAGTACTAAAAAAGTTTTTTAATTTTTTCCTTGCAACGTAAAACACAAATAACGTGCGCGATTTAGCTGTGCAATTGAACAAAATTTGTCCCCGTCTTTTGTGAAAAAACTACCTATTTATTTAAAAATGATGTATAATCTATGCTTTAAATGTATTGTTGATAATTCTTAAATTCACGCAATGCTATCGAAGCCCCCCAGATGGCGCGCGCGTTGCGAAAACCCGATACTTTAGCTTATCTTTTTCAAACCAAAGGGATGCTATTTTCAAAGGCAGGAAAATTAACTACTAGATTTTTCATAAAAAGCTTGAACCTAACAGCAAATAATTTTTATTGTTTGTTTTTTTTTCCTTATTTTTTAAAATTTCAAAAATTTTTGATCTGCTTAGCTGAAAATAATGTGTGATTTAATACCTATTTGTAAAACCAAAAACGTTACTTTTTACTCCAAAAATGTCCATAAGGCGATGTACTTTTTCTGCCATTGAGGCATTTGGCATAACTTCATCGAAGTAAAGTTTTGCCCTTAAAAGTTCTTTTACTTTAGAATCTGATATTATTTTACTGTCAATTTGACAGTTTCAGAGTATTTAATTAAGGAAGCAGAAGTACCATTTTTAAAAACTAAATCAAACTGGCATAAGCTACCAACTTAATAAAAAAAACACGAGTCCAAATAAAAAGAAAATGAACTGTTTACATTTTTGACGTTTCGTCAAAAATTAACAATTACTTCTTTAGGTGGTTCACTGCTAACATTTTTGAGGAAAAAATCTTCGAACTTAACTGACGCACAGCTAATGAAAATGTGTCTTGATGCGGCAGCTGGTATGAGATATTTGGAATCTAAAAATTGCATACACAGAGATCTGGCAGCGCGTAACTGTCTTGTCGGTAAGTTGGCATGACTGCGAGAACTGTCAAAAGTGACAGTTAATTGTCAAAAATAACGCTTACTGAGATTTTGAAGCATTATTTTGATAAAATCTGTGTTTCTAGGTTACAATAACGTGGTAAAAATATCAGATTTTGGTATGTCAAGGGAGGAAGAAGAATATATAGTATCAGACGGTATGAAACAGATACCAATCAAGTGGACTGCTCCTGAGGCACTAAATTTCGGTATTTTTTTTCAGAAAAAATATTTTTTCAAGATTTAATTTAATTTTTTTTGCAGGCAAATATACTTCACTATGCGACGTTTGGAGCTATGGGATCTTATGTTGGGAAATATTTTCCAGAGGTGGCACACCTTACGCTGGCATGAGCAACTCCAAGGCGCGAGAAAAAATTGATGGCGGTAATAATTTTTTAATACTTTTACAAATTATTCTTCTTATGAACATCAAGTAGAAAAAACGCGTTTTGTTACATTACAAAAAAGTTGCGCGCGGAATTGTGCTCAAGTCTGCCTGAGCTACTTAAAAAAACCTTAATAATAAAATGCTGAAAGGTGTGAACCAGGCTGTAAACAGTTTTATGCATAATTTAATTATAAATAAAATTATTCTAAATAAAAGACCGCACATATGCTTTAAATATACAGTGTGTCCCTGGATAGGTGAAACGACTTTTGTTGATTTGCTTTTTTAATTTTGAAAAATCAAGTATGCCTTGGAAATATTAAAAAAAAACTATTTTATCTATTTTGCGTTCATAATGATTTCATTATAACACCGCTTTTGGTGCTGTAATGAGATACTTTATCCCACCCAAAATTTTGATTTTATAGGTTGGCTCGAGGGGTCAACCACCCAAAGGGAAAACGTCCAGGGATTCCCATGTATTCCCATTATATTTTATTGTATTCCTATGTATTCCTATGGTATTCCCCCTCTAAAATGTCCAGGGATTCCCAGGTGTGGGTGACCCCTCGGGTTGGCTATACTTTAATATTATACATAATATTTTGCATATTGGTTATAATATTTTTATTACTTTTCTAGTACTTACGAGACTTTTCTGGCAATAAATTTTGTTTAACGCCAAAGAAAATGTCAAACCAATGATGTGATACCAACTAAAGTAAAATTCGACCAAATTAAATTTAAGGTATAAAATTAATTTTTTTATAGAATTTTTGCAAAATAGATAAAATGGCATAAAGAACTCATGTCATAAGACCTTTTGTCGCACTCGTCCATTACAAAACTCGTTTCATAAATTATCCGCGTGCGACAAAATTACGTCTTATGACATTAGTTCTTTAATATACTATTTTGTTTTGGTAAAGTGCCATTCATATGGGATATACGACAAAATATTATAAAATATTTTACGTCCATATACCAAATTTCAAATTTCTTGGTCACTTTGATTTTTATTTTTTTTAGGTACAATAAACAGAACAATGCAAAAAAAGTTAAAATAAAAACTGCTTACTTTTTGTACATATTTCCCAAATAGAACTATCCAATTTTTAATTAAAACAGCCATGAAAATAATACTATTATTAATGTGTCAAAACTAACTACTAAGGTGGTTTTGTTAAGCTTAAACTGATTATTAAGCGTTATATTAACGATAGAAGAAAAAGTTAATGTGTTCTAACTTCATTTTTAAAATTAGTAGTCAGTAAGCTAGTAAGCTGTTGCAATAAACCAAATGTTCCTTTTTTATTTTATTTTGAATTAAAATTTAAGCACCCGTGGTAAAATTACGACTTTTATTATTTTTATTTTAGGCGACGTTTTTATACCTAAATCTAGGTAGTAAAAAAATAAAAATCAAAGTTGGCCAATAATTTTTAAATTTGGTATATGGACCTAAAATATGATTCCAAACAACTTTTGTTTATAATATTTTGTCGTATATTCCATATGAAAGGCACTATACTCACACAAAAAATAGTAAAAAATTAAAAACCAAAGTTGGCCAAGAATTTTGAAATTTAGTTTAGTTAAATGTTAATTCTAAACAAATTTTTTTATAATAATAATGTATTTTGTCGTATATTCCATATGAAAGGCACTTTAGCCACACAAAATAGTATATTATGTATCAAGTTTGATAAACGCCATTTTATACCGAATTTAATTTAGGCACGAGCGAGCTTGCGAGCGAGTGCTTAAATTAATGAGTGTATAGAAAAGTTTATAAACGAGGTGCATACTATACTTTATCTACGACGAACACAAAACAGAATTTAAAGCCAATTTTATTTGTTAAAATTTTGACATCTGTCAACTGTTACCCGAATTTAACCTCACTTTTTCCCAATTTATAATAAAGCTAACTTCAGCCCGTGACGTAAAATGTCGAAAAGCCACTGTTGTTAACTTCAGCCCGTCAATAAAACGCCATAAAGTCACAGCTCGTCAATGTAGGAGTAGATAAAATAGTTAAGTTTAGTATTTCCAAGGCATACTTGATTTTTTAAAATTAAAATTGAATTAAAATTTTTTGTTGTATGTGTTTGTTTACATTTGTTTATTTTGGAACTGGTTTAACAGATACTGGTTTAATAATAGTGTATTATTATACAAGAGATAATGCAGGATATTATTCACGAGGACGAGGTTTAAATCATCTGAGTGAATAATCTCGAGTTTAATACTATACGTCATCTACTTCAATAGGTAGATAATTAAATAATTTTTAAAAATAAATAAATAAAATCTGACATCTGTCAAATGGTTAACCTCACTTTTTACCAATTTTAAATGGTATTTTAGTCGCCCTCTCCCAATTTGAAACCCGATTGGTTCAAATAACAGTGAATATTGAAATCGGCCAATCTGATGCCTAACAACGTGAATAATGAGTTTATTATTTCCGTTGTTAGGCAGGAAATTTATAATGTTTATCATTATCCACGTAAAAAACAATATTATGCTATAGAAGTAGAAAAATATTATTAAAAATATAGTTTTTCACCTGTCCAAGGCTATCCCATTCTCTTTCTTGTCACTATAACTTAAATAACGCAACCACCATTGTATTTAAGTTGTTTTTAACTTGTCTGCAGTAATTTTGAAAAACCTAGTAAGTCAGTTTTATAATGTTTTTAGGAGAGACATTTTGACAGTTTTGTTTGGCCTTTTTTCAGTTCCCTATAAACAAGATTATGTCAAAGTCTATATTGGGTTTGTGGACCTGCCAGTTCTAATAAAATTAAAATTATTAACCTTAATACCTTCAAAAGAGTAAAAAACTGACATACTATGTTTTATCACCAGTAAAGCCTATTATAACAAAAATTAAAAAAAAATAATTATAAACCAGCAATTTCACTTACTAGTTTTTTTAAAAGAACATCAAATCAAACACTTTGCATTTAAATTAGCAAGTTTATTTACTAGTTAAAATTTATTAATTCTGAAATATTATAAATACGCACAAATTAGCAAGTAGACTTGGTAAATTAATTTTTAACATGCCATGGATAGCAAGGCACTTAACTAAATAAAATTTATTTTGATTTACAAAAATAAGAAAAAAATCTACATTTCAGAGGCTTGACATAGATCCAGCGAATTGTTATTTGAAGGCAAAAATTGCCAAAACAGCTTTTTTCTTTCATCCTTAAATGAGGGTATAAGCACTTTTAAGATTTTTTCTAAAAAAAATATGAAAAACCTAGTAAGTTTACTTGCCAAGTTTTGAAAACGCCTACTTAATAAATTTGAAAACTTACTAAAAATATAGGTAAAAAAAATACGATTTAGGTGCGTTTAAGAGAGACGGAAAGATGTTCAAGTAGGTAATATTTGGCGCTCTTTTTAAAAAGCAGTAAATTTACAAAACCTAGTAAGTCGACTTACTATGTTTTCTAAATTGACTGCAGTTGTATGGTTGACACTGACAGATCGGCTCACACATGGCATGCTTTACTCAGTGTTACCAACCTATTTTATTTAAAATTCCTCAGGACGATTTTAAAAATTTTCTATTTTAACCTAAAATTCCCGTTTTTTGTTAAAAAAATATATATTTTTATCATAATTACAAAAAAGTATTAATAAAAATTAACATAATTGTTGTCAACAAACTGGAACACTTAAAATTAAAAAATACCTTAATCTATGACATATTTGACAAGATCATATTATTGTTGATAATATCAATATCAATCACTGATAGCCATGTTCTGTGACTGACACCACATAATACAAGGGTTGCCAGACTTTTTTTTGACGCAATTAATTAAAACAATAAAAAATTTTATTAAAAATTAACAAATTTTTTTTGAGTCGGGTAGACTCGACCAGCTACAAGTATTTTTATTGATAATTCCCTAATATTCACATTTTACATAAAAAATTCCCTTTTGACAACAAAAATTCCCGAAAAAGGGAAAATTCCCTGCAGTTGGCAACGCTGCTTACAATAGGGCGATTGCACGCGTTACTGATGGGACAATTGGAAAAAAAATTAACTATTTTTTGATATTTGTTGCTATCAGTAATGAGCCAATGACGGTGATATTTGGGTAACTATTAAAGTTAGAGTTTGTGTAAAATTTTCGGGATCAGAGCTATTAAAATGTTTTTTATTTTACGAACTAGAAATCAATAAAATGTTGTTACTGATGGGACAGGAAAAAGGTCAGAAAAATTTCTGGTTACTAGAAGAGAATAATTCTCTGAAACAGAATAATGTTGAAGAAAAGTATAGGTGAACCAAGTTGCAGATACAGTTAGTATAACTTATTATGACATCACTCATCTTTCATTGTAATCTGTGTAGACAATGCATTTTGATTTCTCGTTACTGACGGGACATTACTGATGGGACATTTATTATTATTATAATAAATATATTTATTATACACTGAAACAAATGTGTAATTGGATAATTTAACTAAATAATGTTTCCAACATTTCAATTGCTGATTCGATTGTTTCAAGCAGAATTATGGTTTTTGTTTTGCCATCGATAGTGGACCACTGTTTGATTTGCACGGGCTCTTCTGGGTTGTATACAGGAAAATAATATATCAATTTCTTTGCACTCCGGACATTAATTCATCATACAATTTTCTCTTTCGACGTCACAGGTTATCTCAGAAATCAGCTTTTTATGATCATCCGGAAATACTTTAAAGCGTTTGCTAAACGCTTCCAAAATAAATAAAATGTTTGAATGATATTTGCAAACACAAACGTTGTAAGGAGTGTCACTGATTGGCAAAACGAACGCAGGCCTTAACTCATAAAATTTGAATTTTCGTTTCGGGATTTTCTTCTTGGAAAATTGTTTACGCCTCTTTAATTGTGTAGACCATGTGCCGTTTTTGAGCATATTCAATAATAGATCCATTTGTCTATATTTTCACACGATCTATTAGAGAAACTTTACTTATATCCTCTTTGAGATAAAAACTTTTTCAACTATTTCTGGGGACAATTTGTTCCACGGATTCATTGTTGTTATTCTTTCTGTATTTCCTATATTCTGAACTTTTAAGTTTGGATCTAGGGATTCTAATATTTTTGTCAAAACACAAATTTTTTTGTTTTTTCTTTTGGCATCATCATGTCTGCCCTTCTTACAGCTTTGAGTTTTGAAGGGTATATTCTTAACAGTTTGCTACTTTTTATTTTCTCTAAACTTTCTTTTTCTTTCTCTTTCATTAATTTTTTGTTACATTTTAAACGTACTATCATTTTTCGCTAACTTTTTTAATTTTTCTCTGTACTTTTTTGCGCTTGAAGCATTTTTAGACAAGTAAGTCTTTTTTAAAACAGGATTTTCATAAATATTTTTTCGATATTTTTTAACCCGCCGCTTCGTATTTTCTTTGTCAAGCACGTTATTTTTTGCCATCCTAAAAATTCACATTTCGTTACTGACGGGACCAAATTTAAAAGAAAGAAATACAAAAATCTGGGACAGCAAACCAATATATTTTTATCGCGTAAGCAAATGTGACATAGGGACAAACATTTTTATTATTAATTAAAAACTGGGCAAGTTGCATACTTGCAATATTAAAACTTATCATATTATTTCGTTACTGATGGGACAAATATACAATAATATTATAAATTAAAATTTCCATAACAGTTTACTTACTTGCAAAAAAAATATTCAGGAATATTTTCACTAATAGTGGCGTCTAATCAAAACTGACGTTTTCGGAAGCGTCACTTACTGTTATAGGTCAAAGCCACCTTGATAAAAATGCTACTTTGCGTATAAATTTTAACATCGGAATATCGCTTATTTTTGACCATATTTTTTTTAAATAATAAGTACCTGAGATAAACATTTTTAGTTTTTTCAACTAATTTCACCATTAATTAATAACTTTGGTATATTTTTGTTTCATTGTACCCTGCTTAAAATTGATGGAAAAAATTACATTGCGCTTGCAATCGCCCAATACACAAGGGTCCTTTTTGGGTGCACATTGGGAAAAAACGTAAAAACGTTTCGCCGCACATTAGCATAAAACAAAAAATTTTTGGCCGCACATTGAAAAAAAAAATTTCAGGGTATAGAATGCCGGCCCCGGACAACACCCCGGACGAGATGTACCGGCTGATGGTGCGATGCTGGGAGTACAAGCCGGAAGTGCGGCCGAACTTCGAGCAGATCTACACGGTGGTCGACACGCTGTGCGCCGCATACAGGGTGTCGTTTTTATGATGAAAGGCGAAAATTTTCGGAAAATAAAAATTTGATGATAAATTTGCAATATTTCTGTGATTTATACGTGTGTAACTGGCAAAAAATTAGATCTGACATATTTATTGTGAAAGTATTTTTTTATCTACATACAGTTTGTGTTGGTTGCATTTTTTTTTAAGTTTCAAAAACTTGTCTAGTTGTCATATTTTTTTGGATATTTTATTAAAGTTATGTTAAATAATTATTGTATGTAACTAACACTAAAATTGCTAAAACATTCAAATCATTGTATTATTTTAATATGTATTTAGACTATAATGTCTACTTAAATATATTGTTATTAAGTTTTAATATGATTTTTATTTTATCCTGGTGAAAAACAAGGAATTTTTGATTGCACATTGGGAAAAAAACTAAAAAAAACTTTTGGCATATTTTTATCATAAAAAAGTTATATTTAAAAACTTAAAAGTACAACAAATATTTATAAATAAAGCTTAATTAATTCATCGCTGATGGCCGATGGAGTTAAAATGCCCAAATCCGTGAAAAGTAGGGTTATGTAAGATGGCGGAGTGTAGTCGACGAGAGGATGCGCCTTTTGTAAATCGATGTTTTTACGTTTTTCCGAATTGTACTAAAACAATGCAAAATGTTTGAAACAAGCTCTGTTATAAATAATAGGAAAATGTGGAATATCACAATGTGAAATGTTTTTGAGGTTTTAAAAAAATAATTAAGGAAAATTTCCTTTCCTCCAAAGTTTTTCTTATAAAGATATGTATATTCAAAGAGTGTTTTTTTAAGCATATAAAAATTGTCATATTAAAACTAGAAAGACTTCATATTTGTACCCACACGGAGAGAAAAATTTTGCCAAAATAACTATCCAAAGTATTGTTAAATGACGTATCGTGAATTTAGTCAACTGTTTTATTAAACTGAGGATCTGTATAGCTAATTTAGCCATACAAATCCTCAGTTTAATAAAACAGTTGACTAAATTCACGATACGTCATTTAACAATACTTTGGATAGTTATTTTAGCAAAATTTCAAGTTCAAAAGTCAAATTATTACACACTACCATATATCGCCTTTAGTTTGAAACCACTGTAAAATTACTGGTCATTTTTAAATTCTACATAAAATTCTGAGTAAAATTACTATACCATGTCCTATACCTAAAGTAAATTTTGTTTAAAATATTAGAAAAATAGGCTTAATTGGATTATAAACGCTTTAAAAATTTCAAATCGATATCTTTTGCCGTTCCTCAGAAACTAATTTTTATGGTTGTCCATTTATTAAGTGAATACATTTTCATCAAAATATACAGTCTAGCTGTTATCGAAGCTGTGCCGAATACCGTGAATAATATTTTATTGGACCGCACTAAAAAAAATTATGTGATCTGAAAAAATGCCGGGACACGGGTATCATTTTTTTAAGTCTATTTTTAAAATCTATAGGAATTTTTTATGGGAAGGAGAAAAAATCAAATTTTGTTGTACTGTGTAATATGAAAATTTGTATACACTTGAAAAAAAAATCTTTGAATATACATATCTAAATGTTTATAAATAAATTTCCTTTTCTCCAAAGTTTTTCCTAATTATTTTTCATACTTCTTTTTAAAACCTCAAGAACTTTTGGAATATCCCTAACAGTTCTTGACATTTTTCTTTTATTTGATTTTTTTAACTAAATAAAAAAAAATATTTTTTCATAAACCAAAATAATCAAGTATATTTTGTTTTGAGAAATCAAAAATTTCTTTTTCTTACTACCTCGACTCAAAATACGTTGTTTCGTCCCCGATTTCACGGCAGAAAGTTTACGTTTCTTGCATTGGTCAAGCTATACGCGCACACTCTAATAGCGGGAGTAAAAATTTTTTAGTCGCGTGCTTAACATTTAAATTTCGTACTGCCAACATGAGAAACACAAAAATATGACAGTTTTAAACCATAATTTTGCAATTATAACAACAAATAAACAATTTATGTTTTTACTTTTTTACTTTTTATGTTGTTTTAAGTGTTTAATGGTACTTTTATTTGTTATAAAGTAGTAATTTGTTAATTAAAATACAACCTTTTATTTTTACTGTATTGGCACCGCTGAATTACCATGACAACGCTACAGTTTGATTGATTTTGAATGTAAACGTCAGAATTAAATTAAACGTCAGATTTTAATTTTGACACAAATTTTTTTATATACATTTAATTTTTTCCCGTATTTTCTGCAGGGTAGTAAGAAAAATAGTATACACTACACGGGCAGAAAGTGTGAGAGTCCTGAACTGCGCGCCATGATGCCCTCGGCTTCGCCTCGGGCATCATGGCGCGCAGTGCAGGAATCTCACACTTTCTGCCCTTGTAGTGTAATATACTATTAACATAATTATTTTGTTTATTAAACAGTTTTAAAAATATACTTCAACTTCAATTTCTATATTTGGTAATTGGCTTGATTGTAATTTTCATTATTCAATTTATAAAAAAATATGATTTAAATAACATTTTCTGCAATTTCTATTTTTTAGATAAAATTAAAAGTGTAATTTGAACGATTTTTAATTACAATTACCTACTTGTTTTTTAATTTTTAATGTAAATTTATATTTTTTAACTTCAACAAAATATTTTGAAAATACCCAATTAAAAAAAGCCAAGTTATAAAATTCGAAAAAAAGATAGTTTTTTTATTTAAACTTTGACCTCCAATATCATTTAAATGTATGGTTTAACGAAAATGACGTACATTTTTTGTATATCAAATGGGAATGTGAAAAAAGGACACCCTAAGATTTTTTTAATTATCATAAAAACGCCACCGTCCATTTTAACCATTTTGGAAGCACAAGTTTATACTTTCAATTCACATATTTTGATGATGAATGAGGTTCAACTTATACTCTTATTCCACATTTCTATATCATTTTATAATAGATAAAATCATAAAAAACTTACCTTATACTCAGCAGGTAAATCAGTTTGATTCAAAGGAAACAATCTTGTAAACTTAAAACTCTCCGTCAAAACATAAAAAGGTTTTTTCATTTCTTTTGCGCACACTGCCATTGTGTAACTTCCAACCTAAAGTAATTTTTAATAATGAAAAAAATTAATTTTCTTTTTGACATTTTATATTACCTTATTAACAATTCCACCACTCTCCACTACACTTTCAGCCCCCACCATTATAAAATTTACTTGTTCCATTATGTAACCAATTGCAGAGTCCAAAATTATTGTACAAGGGATACCAGCTGCTTCCAAATCTTTATGCATATGTTTTCTAAAAAAAGCAATTTTTTTTTAAGTATTACAGGTACAGAAAATGGGCTTTTTCTGTATGAGCATGTGCAATTATGGTATAATCCTTTGGGAACATGTTTCAAACTTTACATTCAGAGTTTTACATTGATACTTCGCTAAACAGATGTCACTATTATTTGTAGGTAATTGGTGTTTGAAATGTCAAATGTCAAAGGTAATAGTTATTTGTTTTACAAGTGTTGAAAAGCGACTTTTTCATGCGTGTTTTTAAGAAAGCTTTTCTCCCAAGTATAACACAATGTTTTTTCTGCTACCCTTTTATTTTTTATTATTTTTAAATACAAAACAAAACTTTTTTGATAGCTGAATGTCAAACAATGCTTTCCGGTTCTTTTCACACAGACCTGTCACTTTTCACACAGAAATGTCACTTTACATTCGTGTTTTGCCTTGCCAATGAAAAGATTCATTTTCTAAGCAACAATGCCATCATGAAAAGTGACTTTTACATAGTGGTCGTAGAAAAAATATTTTACATCTCTTATTGTTTAATGAGTTGTAAAAAAATGTTTTCCCTGCAGTATACAGAAAATATTGTCTTCAAAAGTTTTTGTTATACTGTTTTAATAAAGAATAGAATTTAAATATGTTTTTTTGTACCTACCCACTGTCATCTGGAGCTGATATAGTAACAAACACATGAAATTGCCTTTGTTGTTTTGAAGCTTCAATCAAAGTCTGTAAAACCACTCTTGATCGTGAATGAGTCAAAATGGACTGAAATATGAAAAATTAAACAATAAAAATACCAAAATTGTAAAAAAATACTCACAGAACCATCAAGAATAAAATCAGAAGCAATCCTGACTATTTTATTTCTGGATTCGTTCAATTTTTTTAAAAACATTTGACCCCTTTCCAACATTCTTGCTCTAACTTCTTTTAATGACTAAAACATATAATTAAAAGTACATTATAGACAAGGCAGAGAAAGCTCATATTATAGCCAAGCAAACATTTCATTGCCAAGGCATTAGATTGTGTGCTAGGCAATAAATTATTTTCTTACAGCATCTAGGGTAGTTAAAGTGATAAACCTAAGAAATAATTCACAACCCGATGTTATTCCAGCTACCGGTATATTGAGATTTTTCATAATATTGATAGCATCTTTTAATATTAACTCTAATTCTTGAACAGTTTCAGCTACAAAGTAAAATAATATTCAAATTGTTAATTTATGTAATTTTTATTACATTTTGACTGTCTAATAATTTCTAATAAGGTTCTAATAGCAGCCACCCCTATAGAAACATCCTCCTCTTCTTTAATAATTTTCAAAAAATACTGTTTAATTTCTAAAAAAACATTAAAAGTTGAGATTTATACATATATTTTGATGTGTATACGTACTTTGTTCCTCCATTGTGCTTTATTAATTGCTTCAAACGCAAAATTACGTTATATTTTGAGATTTTTCATCAGATAACCTAAAAATATCATATGTCACTCATTTGAACTATTAGGAGATTTCAATTGATTACCGAAATAAAATTCGGTATAAATCTGTTTACTATTGTCGCAAATTTCAAACTGAAACCAATGTACAATCTTTTTTTAGTTTTTAAAAATACTTAATTTTTAATTCTGGTTATTCTATTATAAAGCATACTTTAAATAAAAATAATAACTTTTTTGTTGGTGACGTAATAAGTGCATACCAATGCGGTTAGTTTGCGGTATTGGCGCGAGGTGGCGCTGCAAATAAAAATTTGGCAAGTGCTCGACCAATGGCAATCGTTGTTTGGAGTCACGTGGTGCAAGTTCCATAGTTAAGTGGATTTTTGTGTGTAGTCGTTGTGGCTTCTCATGTCACTTATAAGTTTTTCAAAGTGTTTGGCTTATTAATTGAAATTGTAAGTAGTTTCCGTGTTTATTGGTTTGTGATGCGTAGTTTTTGGTGCGAGATTTGTTGAGAAAATTGGGACTTTAGTGGGTAAATTGAAGTTTAACATAATGGGACTGGGAATGTCGCCATTTTGCTTGGTCAAAATAACAACGATTTCATTCTTTTGTTTCTTTGTTGATTCGTTAAATGTTTTGCGTAATTTTTACGTAAATTAACGGATAAATCGTTTTACGTAATCGCACGTAAAGTTGCCAACGATATTTTGGGCGTATCAAATTAATATCGTCCTTTCATTCCTTGAGAGCATGATAATTATTTCGTTACATTGTGCATTATCTACGATACTTGTTATTGGTTTTTAATTTGTTGTTTTTTGAGTTATTTTGTTTATTTTTTGCACTGGCCAAATGCCAAATATTCAAGGATACATATTAATTTCCGGAAATTATTAAATTATGATTTTGGGTGGGTTGGAGAGTATTTTTAATATACCTTGGACCCTTGAAAAAACTAGACTTCCTTTATCTATAAACAATAAATGTTGTGTAAATGTATGCGTAAATCCCATTTTTTTTTAATTATGCGATTTTTATTGTTTTTCACGTGTTGTATTGAGGTCATTTAAGCCATTATTTTATTTTTCCTTACAAAATGTTTCAAATTAGCCACCTGCAGACGATATTAATTTTATTTGAGTTATTTTAATGTTATGAGACTATTTATTTATGTAAAAGAAAAGACAACAATTTTCTAAGTACGTTTTAAAAATTATTACTTAACAAAGTCTGATCTCCATTTAAAGAGGTGCCAATGTAGTAAAAATTATACGTTGTATTTTAATTACAAATTAAAGTATCATTGAAAACTAAAAACAACAAAAGGTAAATAGGCAAGTGACAATATAAATTGTTTTGTTATTGTGGCAAAATAAAGGTTTAAGTAAAACATATTTTTGTATTTTCTAAGTTGGCTGCGCAAAATTTAAAATTACAACTTAAAAAATTGTTTTTTGATGTTTCTATAAAAACATAATCCCCTTTATTTAATTAATAAAGTAATTTTTAAAAATATGGAAAATAACACCTGTGTTATTTCCACAGACATGTGTCTGTGGTTATTTCCCACACATTTTGCATAGATTATTTTAAAAATTCGTTTCCAAACTCTAGAAACAAAATAGGATCATGTTTATGCTTAAAAATTGATTATTATAGTTTTTGATGGAAATCTCATAAGCGAGCTCGTGATATAAAAAAAGCGTATGAAAACAAATGCAATGTAAAAAAAATCTGAAATTATTTGTGAATGTGTCTGATGCCTCAAATAATATTAAATTTTGAAGACATTCTATGGAAACTCTTAAAATGGAAATACTACTACAATGTACTACTACTAAAGTTTTATTTTTCTTGCACAAACTGTTGGAAAAAGCATCAATCATTTTAACTTCAGCTAGCTGTGGATGCCTAGATGAACTATTAATAATTATATTAATTTTTTGCAGGTTTTTGTAAAGACAGTGTGTTTGGAAGTGTTAGTTACATATTTTAACGCATTGTTTGGAGCATGGTAAGTTTTACTTTTATTAATTTTTATTTACTGCCGTCCTACATAAAATTATGTTTACTAAATGAATAAGTTAATTGAAAATTTGCACTCAAGTGGCAAAATGACAGCACACGTGCGGTAAAATCTTTTTTCAAGGAAAATCCTTGACATTTCCAATCGTAGATTACTGTATTTTTTTTTTAAATTTGTTTTGATGTGCATTATTTTTAGTGGCTTAGCTTTAAAACCGGACATATACATATGTATAGATTAATTTTCAGAAATAGTACACATTTCCGGTAAAAACCAAGCTTTATTTGCATTCCTTTATATATTATTTAGATTAATTGGGAAATCCAGATAGTAAAAACTTGTTTTTCTGTGTCTAGGTTTTTTATCAGAAATAGTATTATTGGTAAATAAAAGCAATGCATAAAAAAACCGCGATGATAAACAACAAACAATTTCAAAACAACGAAACTAAACGGGCGGTGTACGAAAGGGGGGGGAGGCAGAATACAAAATTGCAGGGAGCGGATCGATATGCAGTTTGCTCGCCTCCCTTTCCACGTGTTTCGGAGTTTCACTCTCTATCTCGCGAAAAGTGGTGTGCAAACGCACAGTGACTTCAATTTTAAATTTAAAAAGTAAAATATAAATAAAGTTGTTTAAATTGGATGCTTTACACACAAATAAAATAAAAAAATGGTCAAATTAAAGACATATAGGTATACAAGGTGTCCCTAAACTTATTGGCATAAATTTAGGAAAAGATTGAGCAAGTCAAAATAAAACGAAAACCTAAAAAATATTTTTCCTAATTACTTATGTTTTCAAGATACAGGGTGATAAAGTGGTACTTATCATATCAGTTTTTTTTTAATATAACTTCTACTATGGTAGTCTTGGAAAGGTGATATTTTGCGAACAGTCACTAACTACCAAAATACATATTTACACATAATTATAATTGTTCGAGTGAACACAGTGTCGTAGTTTAAGCTTATTGTCCCATACAAACTTTGAGGTTAGGTTTTTATAACATTTGATGCAATTTTTTGATTACACAGTTCGGCTACCATTAAAAAGGTGTACTTCTCAAACTTCGATAGAATAAACCGTTTCCGAGATATTGAGATTACAATAATTGTAATATCGCATTATTCAAAAAGATTAAAAGGTATATCATAACAAATTTCATTTTTTAATTGAAAAAACTAAAAAGGGCATTCCATGAGACTCGGGACTTTTTGCCCTGACCGTTACACAAAATTGTAGTTTTTTAAATTAAAAAAATTGGTATCGTATACCTTTTAGTCCTTTAATGCGATATAACAACTATTGTAATCTTGAATATCTCGCAAACGGTTTATTTTATCGAAGTTTGTGAGGTACACCTTTTCAATAGTAGCCGAACTAAGTAATCGAAAAATTGCATCAAATGGTATAAAAACCTAACCTCAAAGTTTGTATGGGACAATAGGCTTAAGCAACCTCCGTTTCTACGACACTGTGTTCACTTGAACAATTGTAATTATGTGTGAATATGTGTTTTGGTAGTAAGTGACCGTTCGCAAAATATCACCCATCCAAGTCTACCATAGTAGGAGTTATATTAAAAAAACTGATATTATAAGTAACACTTTATCACCCTGTATCTTTTAAACATACTAATTAGGAAAATATTTATTAAGATTTTCGTCTTATTTGCTTAACCTGCTCCTAAATTTATGCCACTAAGTTTAGGGACACCTTTTATATATACACAGTAAAAAATCGTAAAGAGTAAAGTGCGAAAGAAATTAAGTAAACAAATTAGAGTTATTTTTTTGAGTAAGTTTTTTCGAAATTATGCTCAATATTTGATAATTTTTAAAAATTAACTAAATAGTGCATTAAAATTAATTGATTTACTCATTTTGCATTTAACCTAAATCATTTTTGAGTATGCAATAATTATTTACTCTAGATGAAGTAAAACTCGAGTAAAATAGCGTTACACACATGCGCATACCCAGGGCACTGTATTTCGCGCGCTTATGTTGGCTGCACTGCATGCATGGTGTTCAACAGGTTAAACTGGCAATAATTGTGTAATTCGTTGTAGTAATTTATCAGAAACATATATGTTATGTTATATATAACTACATTTAAAATAATTTTTGTGTTTGTGCTTGAATTGAAAAACCACAAAAAGTGGGCAAAGGCGGACATCTCATCTTACGATAATTTGTTGATATTTGGTAAGTACCCCAGCCCCAACGTACATACCTAGATAATAATTTTGGGAATTTGAGTAGGTAGGTGTAATCCTTATTATGATGGCTTTATTTATAAAAATAATAATGAATGTTAAATCCTAAAATTTTTCTACAATAACCGGCGTCTTCATTTACCCAATATCGAGTAAAAATTACTCTATACTTTGATTGAAATTTGATTAAAAAGTTGCAATTTTGTATTTAATTTTTATCTTCTAACATAATATAATATTATTAGTCTTAACGCAGTCCTTAGAAGTTATTCATTATTGTATCAATAACACTATTTTGCCTACATAGGTACACATTAAAAAATAGAATGCCAAATTGGCAATAACATTACACTATTAATAGTGCCAATTTTGTTGTTGTTAACTTGACTTAAAATTCTTGCTGAAATGGCATTTTTAACTTTAATAAAAGTATATAAATATCTTTTGTTAATATATATTTAAATATTCTTTTATTTACAAAATTTTAAGGTTATTTTTTTAAACTTTAATTAAATATATTATTTACAACATAATTTGGATATTTAACAATAATAAATGTAAAACTTACTTTAAAAAAGTGGTACTTTTACATTGTTTTAATGCCATTTATGCGTTATTTTATAGTATATACTACAGTTTTTTGGTAATATCAGATAATAACCAATTTTTTTTTCAGACAAACGTTCCTTTTAACGATATAATAATAACAAAATTTGGATTCTCCGACAAACCCTTTTTAATTGCTGAGTATATGAATACTTTGTCATAGCAAAATATGTTTTTTTATAATGTGCACATAATGTTTTGGTCTAGGGCCAGTTTTTTATCCCCTAGTTAAGATTAACCACTTCGTTTTTTTATTATTTATAAA